ATGTATGTATGTATGTATGTATGTATGTATGTATGTATGTATGTATGTATGTATGTATGTATGTGTGTAAAGGTATGCGCAGTAAAATGCCTGAGGGATTGAAATTAAGAGAAAAACTATAAAATACAGCTTGTCATTAAGGAAAACTGATCAAATCGAAGATAAGCAAACCCCAAAACATGCTAATTCTTAGCAAAGAGACACACCGAAGGAAGAAATTCCGCCCATATTCGAAACTTTTAAAATAAGAACTTGAGTCAACGTAGGTTACTTGGGGTGATGTAGGATTGAAGCTACGCTCCATCTTGTAGCCTTTTAAGGCAAGGCTGCCTGAATAGAAGGTATGAAGACCAAGATGGTGCGGCCTTTATTCCTTACGTCCTCTTAACCAGCCTATGTTGACTCGGGTTCTTAATCGAATACTACTGATAGCTTAGAAGGCCATTCATTCAGTGAATATTTAAAATAAGTTTGAAATTAAAACAAAAAGTCGTCGTTATTTTTAGCTTGATTAGTTCTATAGTATTACATACAATATAGTTAATGTATTGTTGGGTGATTCATGAACTAATGGCTTAACTAACTACGATTAATTACTATTTCTTGGGCTCGCTATAGCAATTTACTACCTAGTATGACAAATATGAGCTAGTGTTTAGACATCGACCAGGCGTGACTGTCATTTATAGGAGTATTACAACCAAGGACGGCAAAGTAAAGATGCAAGCGAAATCATTAATGAATAAATAACTTTTTTATTATTGAGTATAAAATTATGCATAATTTCCTGGTCTACATTGTTAGCATTTTCAAAAAGTAACCAATTAAATCTACCGTTTCTGCAGGTCCTCGTCGGGTGTTGACCACTTTTTTGTCTGGTCAAGGGTTGTGGTCCTGTTAGCCTGGAAGACACAGCTAGAGAAGTTCGCCTCTACTCCAGTAGCGAGGTCGTTCACTGGTCCGACCACTCGGCAAATAGATGAAGTTGGATTTGCAGGTGAGTCACACACATAAAGCAGGTTAGTTTGCGGCGACGTAACAGGGCCACCACTGCTATTATTACTGCTACAACTGCTGTTAACAGTTGAGATGGCGCTTGCCAAGTCGATAGACTCTTCATCACAAGGCCCACTCGATGATAATTTGGACAAGAGCCCAACTGGAAGGGGAGGAGGCGGCATCAGGGGGAGTGGTGGCGGAATGCTTGAGGTATCGTCGACCTCAAGAGCTACATCCTTTTTTGCCACTCTAGGCGTTGAAAACAGTTTCAATGACTCTTCAACAAATTCCTTGTCACCTCCCCGTACTTCCTCTTTTAATTCTTTGTGTATTCCATTTTCTAAGAAGGGCTCAGCATATCTAGCTTGTTCTGTTTGGATACTTATAGGTGTCGAACCAGTCCGAGATTCATCGACGTCTGGACTTATAACAGGCATAGGCGGTGGAAAAACGGGATGCCTGTTTGTCAGCCTGATGGGTTCCTGATCAGTTTCTACGGCCTGGAGATGGCCGGATGATTTGAGAAGGCGCTGGCGTGCGTAGGCGAGTTTGAATGCA